TGCTGCCGGTGTTGTTTCGCAAGTGGACAGCACAATGAACTGCGATGGCATTAATTAATATGAACGTCTCCTCCATAGATAGGTAAACAACACTAAACAAAGCGGGTAACTGAGAAACCCCATAATGCAGACATAGTAACTTCTCCAGCCTTACAATAATGCTCTCTAATGTTACAGAAATAAGGCATTAACAGACACACAACGTGTTTTTTAAACTCACCATTAAGTCCCACCAAATAGTGGAAACATCGTTCCCTTTCAAGTAGCTCCAAGGTCGGTAAATCCAACCGGTGGTCGTTGCATCTTCCCCCACACGGCCACATACAGTCCCAAAGTAGTAAAACTAATTCCAACAGGTAGGGTAGCACCGACAATAACATCATGGATCATTAGTCATTAATTTTTCTCCACATCCTCTGGTCACAGAGCAGCAGCAGCAGCAGGAGGTAAAATATATCCACAAAACCAGTCGAAAGATTCAGCTTTTACAGTGACACTGTGGAGGGCTTTTTTTTTTTTTTACTGAATATTAACATAAACAAGGGAAAATAACATTTTGCCAGTGGGGCGGGGACAGCGGTGGATGTCAGGCAAGATCACATGAACGCGCAGTTGCCTGGAGAATATGACCATTCAAGGAAATCCTTAAACTATCACGCAATACTTTATCTTTTTAGAAAAAAAAGTCTGAGTGAGAATTTGCGAGATGTGTATAAACCCAGTTGCTCCTGCATAGAAATACTAGAACATACGGTTTAGCAGGTATATTGTTTTCCATGTTCACATTAGAACTGGACTGACAAATCAGCCAGGATGAATGAACACCTCAATTTTTGAGCTTTAGGTCACGTCTAAGATGAGAATTCATTGTTGTAACATTGTAGATAAGTTGGAAAACAAGGGAAAGCGCCATGGGCTCTTTAAGATCTACATTTTAAGCAACAGTTTGCCAAATGCAAATGACACCATTAGATAATGAGCTCTGAGGTTGTAAATGGCAAGAAACCTCCTGAGAGCAACCAGTGATCATGCAGTTAGAGTATTGTCATCTCATCAAATGCTGGTGTGATGGTTTTTATTTTGTTTTATTTTAACAGTGTTGTGACAGGGGATTTTTGTGGACATGCTGGACTAACAAGGGTTTCTGAGAGACTCAGTGGGTCAAGCTGCACCATTTTCTACCAAAGTCTGAGTAAATCCAATAGGGTGCACACCGACCCTCAATAAATCTCATTCAAAATTTAGATAATTTAAAGTTATGTTACTCATCGGCACATTTCTGTACATCATTAGACAGGATCTAGATGCACAAGTGGTATTCGTTTTTTTTTTTATTCAGCACCGCACTGTTTTCCACAGCCTTTCCCAGTACAGTGATGAGAACATGATGGATGCTGGGAACCTGGCCATTGTGTTTGGCCCCACCCTCCTGCCCACGCCTGACACACTGGACCAGGTGGCCTGTCAGGCGCACGTCAATGAGGTCATCAAAACGGTCATCCTGCACCATGACAACATCTTCCCAGACATCAAGGAGCTGCCGGGACCAGTATATGAGAAGTGTATGACTGGAGACCAGTACTGGTGAGATTCACAGAGAAGCGTGTCAAACCTTTTAATCACATTCACTAATTTTATTAGTCACTAATTATGTTCATCTAATTATGAAATCCTAATGTTATTGTAACTCGTCTCCCACGTTCCACAGAGAATAACCATCTGAACCCTGATTTTCTCTCTACATTTTTACTAGGTAGCTTCAATCACAGTCACATTCAAACAGGAAATAAAAGCAACACATTAACATATGGAGAAAGACTTGTTTTCATGTCTGTTCACTTCATAAATCATCCAGGGGTGGCCAAACATTCACATACAGCTGTCTATCAGACATATTAGGAAACTTCATTAGACATTCACAAAACATTCATAGAAAGCAAAATAAGAATTTCCTTATTTAATCGTTTTGATTCAGTTGTGCTCAGTGTGTAACTCCAGTAGCTTAACAATTCATATCATACTGAAGTCATAAAATGTGACTTATCATTATCTCTAAGTCGTGAACAAATTCCTATAAATCAACGTAAAAGTTGCTCCTTCTAACTGCAGAACCAGCCTCCTGAGAATCGTTGCATTCTTCACATCACAGTAATCCAGTGATAGTTGTCTGCACATCCATGCTAACAGGAGCCTCTAACAGCTGATTCAGCTACTTTTAATGGCTGCAGTTTGTTAAAATGTAAACAAATATAGGCTAAAAGACTCAAGGGGAGTGACTGTAGACACAGCCTGTTTGAATTGACAGTTTTTTTCTGGTGTACAAGTTCAGCAGACATTAAAGTCGTTTTCAGACTTTAGTGAGAGTTGCCCTTTCACATACAGTATGTAACACACAGCAGGAGGTCGTCTGTGTGTTCTCGCCTACTGGAAATACTCTCTGTAGCCGGTTGGTAGTTTGGTGATACACCCAGGTCTCTTGCTATTCCTTAAATACGTCGGACGATTCTGGCGCTGGTTCTTAACGACAGACGTTCCTGAATCACGTCTTGTCTCCAGTTAGTTATTTCTGTTGGTGTCTTCATTGTAAATGACCATTTTCTTCACCATCAGTTATTTGTATTTTTCCCATTTCACTGCGATTACATGAAAGAATGTCATCAACGCGCCCACTAGCTCTGTGTGAAATCTCCGGATTATATGCCGCTGTAGTCTAACGTGGGCTCACTCGGACATTACACGGCCTTTGTACTAGGCAGATGGCAGGGTAAAGTGCAATTAATGTCCAGGTCAGCTGACTCGAGCATTTGCATTCACACGTACAGCTCCCCCACGTAATGTCCAGAGAACTTCAGGGTTCCGCTGCATGTCTGAAAGGGGCTTTAGAAAACCTATCAGGTATTATTTTTTTCTGTGGTCATGGTTTGAACCCAGTCTGTTGACGGCAGTGACTCCTCTGATGCAGAAAACTTCTCTGCTTTAGTCTGATGTCAATGTACCCTGTCTAGACCCTGTTGTTCTGCTGTAGCTGTACCATTGCATAAACATCCTCAGACTCTGTGCAGCCTGGTCTCCCTCTGTGCATGCGTCCCCCTCCCTTTGTTCCCATATTGAATGAATGGACAGCGTGTCTATCTACTCTCTTCTTCTTCTGTCTGCAGCGAGAGTCCGTTCAGCGAGCCGGGAGCGTTGGAGGAGACCGAGCCCGACGCTGGCACTGAGACCCAGACCAGCGATGAGGGTACACTCGACCCCTGACCTTCACACAATCGCCCACACTCCCATCCCGCTGTGAAGAGAGGTTGCTATGGCAACAGCAGCCATGGAGATACCCCTCCCTTTCTCTCTGCCTCCCTTCTCCACACTCCACCCACCCTTCCTCATCTCTTCTATCTACATTTGAATTACCAGAAAAGACTTTCTGAATACTTTTTTCTGATTGGTAGAGCTACGGGAGGAACAAAGCCTCAGAGGCGGCTGATTGACAAGTTCAGGTTCACCTCTCTTTTCACATCTCTTATCTCCCCCTCCTGCTCTTTCCTCTCTTTGTCTCCCCGGCAGAGGGCGAGGCTATGGAGGCGGTGGCCAGGTTCGACTACGTGGGCCGGTCAGGTCGCGAGCTCTCCTTCAAGAAGGGAGCGTCCCTGCAGCTCTTCCAGCGAGCATCACATGACTGGTGGGAGGGGCAACACAATGGCAACCACGGCCTGGTGCCGCATCAGTACATCCTGGTGAAGGACAGGCGAGTGCACAGCTCACATGCCCACACCTCGAATTTTGTTTTTATTTTTATTTCCAGTTTTCTCTTGATGTCCTGTCAGTTTCAGTTGGTTTCATCCTAATTTTTAAATAGTGATTATTTTCATTATTTATTAATTTGTGTATTTTCTCAAGAAATCTTTTAAATGTTTTATCTATAAAATCTCTGAAAATTATGAAAAATCCTCATTTCAATTTTTGAATCAGGTTTTTCTACCTAGTTTAAAACAATACAGGAATTGGACTTGTATTCTCGTAATCTGTAGCTCTTTAGAAAGTCCAACGTCTTTGGGGACAATCAACACACTATGTTCATTTATATGTGTATGCATTGTAGTTAATAATATGTCATAAAAACCTAATATTGTTTTGAAAATTTTAGTTTAAAAGGAGCCGTTTACATAGAAAGCCTTATAACACACACTGGTCCCAGGACAACAGCTGTCCCGATGGGTCTGGGTGGATTTGTTGCTCACTGGATTGTACA